GTGTAATGAACTAGAGTGTTCATTCGCTGTACTCCATCCCCCTCATGGTTGCCTTTAGGACAAGTATGGCTAAGGAAACCCCTTAGCAGTAGTGTCCATCCCGATGATATTCTTTAGGCTAGGTCCCTTGTGATAAGTGTTTAGGGACGTAAAGTGAGGATAACGGGAACGGGTAATCAGGGTTATTGTTGATTGGTGAACTTAATAAGTTTATTATTACTGTGGGTTGAAAACCCTATATGCTCACCAGGCTCCCAAGCCTGACCCACTCACATTTTTATGTTACAGGTAGTGGACCCCGAGCATAGTCGGTGGACGATGAGAGATTTTTGGATTATAGGCCAGTAGTTGTAAATAACTGTTGAAAGGCTTATAATGTCTTGTTTATGCTTTTGATCTGTATCGGAACATGACATCCCGAGGTTTTGATATGAAATGAAATTATATATTTCTTTAAGAAAGGTTTTGACAAACTTTTATCATATTTTGTTTTGGCGACCAATTCCGCAACATCTTTTAAAAAGATTTCTCTGATTTTATTTTAAAAAGCATAAATTAAATCGGTCTTTTCTGGCCGAGAAATTAGGGGATGTCACAATTAATGAACTACGCCCGGCGTACTAGGAGGTACGCCCCGTGTAAGGACTGATTTTGAAATTTTTTTAACTTAGAGCCAAAAATGAAAGGTACCTGGAACACGGGTGTTACATATTTCCTTGCAATGGCATTAATGAAAGTGTTGGTTATGTTTCTAATAATAGCAATATTAATAGTGGATACTGTTGCTTGTAGAACGTGCTTGTGGCATTATCATTTATTAACCAACTGAAAAGAAATCTCATTACCAGGTTTCAATTACACAAAAACTTGGAGTCATACAATTCGATTTTCATGATGCATGAGAATCTTGTTCATTGGAAAATTATGACAAATTCATTGTTCACATGTTTATGTGATGCAAGTGAATGACTGATGGATCTGGTATATGTTGATATGGACTCTTTAGATCTACCACAAGGGACGATATCCTATATGTCATGATTTACTAATGCTTCAGTAAATATAGTTCTATTTATAAGATTAAGCATAATTCTCATACTTTTGCAAAGTTCAAAAAGTAGCAGAACAAAAAGAATTTATTAGGCAAAACGATAAAATATTCTCTAATCCGAAAATAAAGGAGAATACTTTAGTATCATGTTTTATGATCATCTGACGATATCCTATATGTCATGATTTACTAATGCTTCAGTAAATATAGTTCTATTTATAAGATTAAGCATAATTCTCATACTTTTGCAAAATTCAAAAAGTAGCAGGACAAAAAGAATCGATTAGGCAGAAAGATAAAAGATTCTCTAATCCGAAAAGAAAGGAGAATACTTTAGTATCATGTTTTATGATCATCTTGGTAATTTTTGGATTGTGTCACAATTAATCCTCAAAGAACATCTTAGTGCAATTGTTTGACTAAGAATAGGAGTGGAACATTGTTGGAAATTATTCGATCATATATGAGTCATATTTTGTTTCAATCAAGTTTTAGATCCATGCTCTAGTAACTATAGTCGTATCTGGAAACTCATTTCAAACTACGAAGGATGATAACACCTTGTAATATGTGGAGTAATAATGTTTTCTTACTCTATCACATTTAGAATTGGATTTGTGATGTTTTCGTTGATCGAGAAACAAAAGATAAATTGAGTCCTATTCTATGAAGTGTTTTCTTGTAGAAAATCTGAACGGATATTTGTTTTAGCTAGTCAAGGAATGTCCCTTGAGAGAAAACTCATATGTCAAGAAGTCAATGGAGTCATTTTGATCTTGAGTTACAAGAGTCGACTAAAAATGAACCTTTTAGTTATTACTAGCACGTGACCTGATGTTGATAACTTTTTGTATTTAAATGACATTTTCTTATTTTTATGCACTTCCAGTTGTAACAATCGTAAAAATTAGGTTGATGTCCGTCGATCAACGACCGTAACTAATTTTGACGGAGGACTTAATGTACGATGTTCTTATAAATATAAATATATATTTTAACAATAAGAATCGTTTAATCTAGATGATTATTCGTATACGACTAGTTATATGCTAATAAAATCAATAAGATACATACAATTATGTGTATGTAGTGAAAGTTTTTTTTAAAAGGTATCCACGTCCTTACAAGTGTTATATGTAATAATAAACTACAAATGAACCTTATCACATTATATGACAAGTGTATAACAAATTAAAATGAAGTATAGGATACATGTGTGTATATGAATGGGTATAGTCTCGAAATTTAGACAACATGAATACACAAATCCTACTCTTTGACATATAACACTCCGTTCAAAGACTAGTACTTATAATACTACTAGAACAACACTCCATTTAAAGACTAGTACTTATAATACTACTAGAACTAGGGACTAAAGCTAAAGTCAACACCTATGAGTACCCTTCCTCACCCCTTACTCGATATGGGCTATCCATGAATTAATTTCCCCCACAATAATCATGCTTCATAGTACAAATGTAGGTAAGGTGAAGTTAATTAACTTTTATGAGTAAGCAAAGAAGTACCATAAATTATGGAAGGAAGGACAAGATAGTACTTTAAGAAGGTTGCACACTCTTTCTCCATCTAACTCACGTGCAATCTCTCTCTCTCTCTCTCTCTCTCTCTCTCTCTCTCACAACTCTCTCATCCATGCAAACCCAAGCATTTATTTGAGAATAGAGTTGCTTCTAAAAATGGCCAAAGGTACACCCTAGAGGAAAGTTGATAGCTTTCAAGAGAGTATAAAATACGAACTATTAGAGACCTTTAACCCATAAAAGTTTAGCCTCAAACCTCTTTCCTCTCTACTTCCTCTCTCGTGTTCGAAGTTCATCATGAACACCTCCATCGGAGGTGTTTTCTGTTGTGATTTCGGGAGGCAAAAAGGAGCAGCCACCACCGAGTTTTGCCACCTGTTACAGCCAAAAAAACATACCAATTATATCCCTGAAGTCGTTTGTTTTTATTCCCAAATTATCACCCTCAAGTTCCGCTGTGAAAAGAGGAAGAAAAGGGGCGAGAAAGCTGCCGGAAACACCCCCGACAACCCCATTTTTGTCGACATCTTTCGTGGCTATTTTGGGTGAGTTTATTTCACCTTAAAAATCTGAAAAACTTGCTGTTTTGAACACCTTTGTGAAGTTCAATAATCTAAAACTAGATTCGTTTATTGTTTGGTGAAGATACCGGGTCTTGAACGAAGCAAAAACCTCACCGAATCCTCCCGTCTAAACTCGAGAATCACGCACCAAATGTGAGGAATGTATCGAAAGGGGTGAAAGAGAGTTTTATGATGGTGTGTTTTTCCTTCGTAAGGATCAAATACTGAAATTAACACCTAGCTCTATAACTGTTAATCCAGGAGGGATCATATACTGTAGGTCTATATACACGTCATAGATTTATAATAAAGAACTTTGGTGTAGATCTATTTCTTATTGAGAGATTTATGCGAATCATTATTTTCCGTCTGTTGTTGCTAGCTACAACTTCGTCTGACGAGGCAACATGCGTCAAGTGTTTCTTTCTTCGTTACTATACGACTGCTTTTAAACGTTAGTAATGATCTCGATTCCTCCATTTTTATATTATATTGTGCCTGTGTGGCTTGTGGAGGAGCGACATATAGTGTCGGTTATTAGCATATTGATATATTGAAGACTTTTATTCGAAGAAGTATAGATCTAGATTGAGTCAATTCTCCCAATTTGGGGCCGAGAGTGTCGAGTGTATAGGGTCTTATCTACCTCTCCTTGCGACATAACTCTTCGTAAACGGACAAGATCCAAATAACAAAAATTGTTATGAGGATGACTGTTCCTTATCATTAAAAAGTGTTTGAATAATAAAATATGTGTCATAATTTACCGGTTTTTGGAAAAATTATTTTGAATTATAGAATTTTCGGAGTCAAAAGAAAACCTATAAAGCTCACCAACATTATTGTTGACGTATTTTCAAAATGTATGTATCTCTAGGTGTTCAAGGTGGCCGGAAGAACTCTCATCCCGTGTGAGGATGAAGGATTTGACGTTGAAAATAAACTGTCGGCTCTATAGTAGCCTTTTGTCTCTTTTATGTTGTAAGAAATCGAAATTCGCGTATAACGCTTATGGATTATTAAACGGTGTATTTTGTCATATTCAGACTTCGGAAGAATGTAATATCATATAAATTCTTCTATCATTTCATTATATGTTGTTGTCTATGATCCAAACGTTTAAGTCGCAACCCCGGCGTGTCCGCCGTTGGTCGGGGCATGACAGATTGGTATCAGAGCTAACGACTATAGCGAATTAGTACTCCCCTCAAAACAAAACAATTATAGTCTACGGGCTTACTCTAATAGGTTCAAGTATTCCTAATACCTATATCATACCACTAATAGACTTATTCCTATAAGTCTAAGATTTAGTACGCGTAGGTTTCCCCCTTAGGTCGACGATCCTATGATCCAAAAATTGTTCCTATAAACTACGCGTGATAAAATAAAATAAAATAAAAACCTAAGGAATATAATCATACAAGCGACATCCATAAATTATACATAAATTAAATAAGCATGAGTTTAAAAGTCAAATAATCAATTAGGTTCTCTAGTACATAGGTCGTACCACAACTAAACCTAGTTGCACGCCTAAGTTTTATTATGGTAAGATTCTACGCACTATTGAAAATAAGTGAATCAGTTGATCTATTTAAACGATAAAAAAAATGAGAATAAAATTTAAAAGTGTGTAAAACTGTGAATAAATAAACACTGACGACAACTAAATTGATTTATAGGAAAAATCGCCAAGAGTGGGACGAGAACGATCAAGAGGTGGACTCGCGTTACCACCTGCCAGGGGATCCTTATTTCCCTGCTCCACCGGCCATGGGAATGCTGATACTGATCGAGGATAGCGAGCCCGAGTAGGATCCTACCGAGGATCCGAAAGAAATGGAACAAGAACCCGAGGAGGATCGTACCGAGGATCCAGAGGAGATGGAACAAGAACCCGAAGAGGAAATGGAGATCGAGGCATACGAGTCCATGGGAGAAGTGACCCCTATAGAGGAGGAACGACATGTTGCATCGCCACCTCCTACCTCTTATTACCTAGGCTCGGGTATACCTCGCAATCGGAAACACGCATAGAAGACAATTCCCACATGCGGAGGTGTTAAGAAGAAGAAGCCTAGGATGCGAGTCCATGGATTTCCAGGTCTCACAGGGAACCTTCACTCGTACGATGCTGCCCCTATTGAGCCTACATCGAACCCTGTATCTGAAGCCCCTCGTGCGATTCAGGAGATGAGAATGCATGATCCTGCCTGGATAACCGAAGTTGTGAATGAATGGGTCCGAGACCAGGGAGGAACCCATCCATTTGAAGTAAGGCGATGCTCGAAGGCGTAACCCCCAGCCACTACTGAGGAGATATGAGAGATCAGGGATTTTCGATCATAAGCCTTTTAGAAAAGTTGTGCACGAAAATAACAAGCCAATGGGTCCTATTTATAGTTTAGGTAACTTGCAGACAAAGCCAAATTTGAATAATTAAATAATAAATTTAATTCCCAATTCATATCCTTTCCTTATCTTCTACTAGGAGGCTTCTAGAAATCCTATATATCTCCATAAAATCATCCATGCCATGGACCCTTCTAGAATTTCCTCTTTTGATCAACTATTGAACAATTACAATGTTGGATTATGGTGTGTAAGCCCATAACTAAATTGGTATACTCTTGTAATTAGAAGCAAAGTCCTTCCTGGGTTGTCCTCATAGCTAGAACTTGATTAGAATGAAATTTATAAAGAGAGGATAAATTTATTAGTTTTTATACGATTAATAAGTAGTAATTAATGATTTGTTAATATATTATATGATTAATATATTAATTGGAAATAGATAGTTGATTTGTTAATTTATTATGTTTGATTAATAAATTAATATTAGATCATTTGTTCAAATAATTGATTTGTTAATTTATATGATTAATAAATTAATGTAAAATCAATTAGAATTGATTAATTATTAATCAGAATTAATCTGTAATTAATTTAGGATTAATTGGAATTAATTTAAGGTGCAACGAGCGAATTGTAATTGTTTAATAGTTGAACAAAAGATACAATTCTAGAACCAACCAAGCATGGATGGGTTTGGGAGCTCTTTTAGGGTTTCTAGAAGCCTCTTGGTTACATAAAAAGAAATGATTTGAATTAGAATTAAATCTATTATTTAATTATTCAAATCTTGTTTTGTCTGCAAGTTACCTAAACTATAATTAGGACACTTTGGCTTGCAAATTTCATGCATACTCTTTCCTAGAGGCATATGAACGAAAATTATACGTATCCTCCTCTCTCCTTACTTGTCTCCTAGTTCTAGGGTTTGGGTGTGAGCCATTAGATGCATCATCCTTTTGGTATTATCTTTCTAAGCTCTTCAAAGGAAGGATTATTGTGATTTTTTGATATAACAAATCAAATGTATGTAAACCTAATTTTTGTATAGTGTTTTGATTATATTAGGGTTCATCTCGTTTTTTTTGTTCATAGTATGTTGCATTCAAAGTGTCTGACATAGATCTTTTAGGTTGCAAGTGCTCTAAGTATTTAAGTGAAATTCTGCAAGCACATAATTTTTGTAACCTATTAAACTCATCAGTGGTATCAGAGCCTAGATGCGTCTAACATTTATTGTACATGAGATGAACTGACAAAATCGATTTTTTGAAAAATCTGTTTTCACGTCGAGACACACTGCCTGTCACGACGTGAAACCAGCTCAAAACGGAAATTCGGGATTTTCTGCCTAATCTAATTTTGTGGTTAATTTTGGTAATTATCTGGTTTTCAATCTATCAAAATCCCAATTTTATAATGCCTTAGATAATTAAAATAAAAAGTTGAAATACTAAAAGAAATCCTGAATAGATAATATTTAATTATCATCTTAATTAAACGAATTATCCTTATGGATTTAATAATAAATTTAATTATAAGATTAATTATAAATATATGATAGGTTTAAATTGATTAATTAATTATATGATTAATTTAGATAATTAATATTTAAACCTTGTGTTTTAAAAAGTTTTAAAATACACCATTATATATATATATATATATATATATATATATATATATATATATATATATATATATAAAGTTTTAAACTTTGAGCCAAAAATGAAAGGTACCTAGAACACGAGTGTTACAACTCTCCTCCACTTGAATCAGACTTCGTCCTCGAAGTTCGCTGCTGCAAACAAATCTGGGTAGTGCTCCCTCATTTCATCCTCAGGCTCCCATGTGCACTCAAAGACCTTCCAGTGCTGCCATTGCACCTTCACCAGGTTCACCAATTTGTTACGCAGAGCCTTGGTCTTCCTATCAAGAATCACAATTGGCCTCTCCACATAGTTCAGGCGCTCATCGACCTGCATGTCATCTAAGGGGATCACTGTGGAATCATTGGCCACACACTTCCTCAATTGAGAAACATGGAAAGTGTTGTGGATCTCACTAAGCTCATCAGGAAAATCCAATCGGTATGCAACCTTGCCCACCCGGGCGGAAATCCTGAAGGAACCAATAAAACGGGGGCCAGATTGCCCTCCTTCTGAAACCGGATGACTCATTTCCAAGGTGACACCTTCAGAAGCACAAAGTCCCCCACCTGAAACTCAAGGTCTGAACGATGGCGGTATGTGTAACTCTTCTGTCGGCTTTACGCGACTTGCAATCTGTCACACACTTGCTGAATCAACTCAGTGGTCTTGAGCACTACTTCGGTACTCCCCATGACCTGATGCAAACGACCTCGCCCCAACAAACTGGGGTCCTGCACCTCCTCCCACAGGGGTTCGACCTCTCACTAGTTGGTGCTCACAATCAATCATGTCCCCATTGGAACCCGGTCAATCCATCCCGATGATATCCTTCGACTCTCACAGAGAATTTGGTACCATGTGAATAGAATATCTCTTGCTGAACATATTCAGGACACAACCACGATGAACCCTCGAGGCACTCACGGAACGATCATCAGCAATCTCAACCTCTAACGGATAATCCAGAGTCCCAGGAGCATCACTAAACTTCTTGCTATGTGCAAGAGATACAAAGGATCAGGTAACACCCGAATCAAACAGAAGATGAGCAGTCATACCATTAACTAAGAAAGTCCTTATACATAATCAGATACAAAATAAGCATAAATAAGGAAAGAAATGAAAGATATAATAAAGTTACATATAGGTAACCACATCTGGTACTGCTCGAGCGTCATTTGTAGTCAGCTGAAATGCACTGTTATTCACCACCGTTGTCTCCGCATTGCCTTGGCGCCCATCGGTAATCCTCAAGGTGGTTGGTGCAGGAGCAACCACTGCCCCTCCTGATAACCTCGGACAATCGGCCTTTTTATGGCTTGTCTGGGTGTAGTGAAAACAGATCAATGCACTCTGGGGGCAAGCCCTACTCACATGACCGGTTTAAACACATCTATAACAACCCAAACCCGTTGATCGACATTCCCCACTGTGCGGCTTGTTGCACTTGCTGCAACGACTCCGACCCTGCTGGCCCCTAGATAGCGAATCAGAAGTCTTAGGCCTCTTAGCCCGGTCTATAGCTACATGTACCTACTCTGTCTTACGCTTCGTCTGAAGATCCAGCTCAATCTCCCGCTCACGGGCCCTATCAATTATATCATTCAGGGTCTTGCATCCCGAAAATCTCACAAACTCCTTGATTTCATCCCTCAACATGTCATGATATCTCACCTTCTTCATCTCCTTATTTACAGCATACTGCGTAACCAAAAGAGCCATCTCACGGAAGTTTGCGGTGATCTCCGCCACAGTCTCAGTAGTCTGTCGAAGGTCTTGAAACTCCCTCGCCAGCTGATGCACCTTGATCGCCAGTGAAAACTCCTCCTGAATCTCCTAACAAACTCTGCCAAGTCATGATCGCCAATGCTACAGATTTCAATGCTCGGTTGACCTCATCCTACCAGTCACGTGCTCGGTCTCTCAGCACGCAGGATGCAAAACCTACCTTTTCCCCCTCTGGGCAAAACTCGTCCGTTGAGCATTCTTAATGCCAGTGATCCAGCGTCGTCTAGCGATGGGTTCCTTGGCCCCAAATAAATTTGGAGCTCCACAAGCTTTGAACTCCCAAAATGAAGGATTTACGCTCCTAACTGACCCGCAACAATCTCGACTCAAAAGGCCCTAAGCCGCTCATCCATAAGGTCCATAATCCCCCCTTGATGGTACCAAACATCACATGAGTAGCATCCATGATACCACGAGTGACCTCGGCCGCAATAAACTCGCATAGCCTCTCATCAATCGCTTCTGTGCCTAAGCCAGAACCTCCTCCTCGATTGATCACCACCATACTCAAATTTAAATGTAAACATCTAAACGATCAACATAAAACTTGAGGGAACTCTCACTATATAGGTCTCCTTAGAATCTCCAAGTTCGTCATTGTCATGAGTATAGATCCTATGCTTCTAGTAGTACGGGCCCAATACTACCTTCCACACCTATATGTACCCACCTCAAGAACCATGATGAATCCTCTCGGTCACCACACTAAATCCATATACCAATCCAATTCTATAACTCATACAAAATCTACTATGGCATTAACTAGGCTCTCCTAGGAATTGTCAATTTGACCGCCTCTACAATACAAAGAATCTCAATAGGGTCCAAACCCTAAAAATTAGGGTTTGGAATCTTTTTCAGTACACCTTGCGTACTCTTGCGTATGCCCAGTGTACGCAAAAGAAATCCCACCACCCATTAATGAACTACGCCCGACATACTAGGAGGTACGCCCCGTGTAAGGACTGATTTTGAATTTTTTTTAACTTAGAGCCAAAAATGAAAGGTACCTGGAACACGGGTGTTACATATTTCCTTGCAATGGCATTAATGAAAGTGTTGGTTATTGTTATAATAATATAAAATATTAATAGTGGATACTGTTGCTTGTAGAACGTGCTTGTGGCATTATCATTTTTTAACCAACTGAAAAGAAATCTCATTACCAGGTTTCAATTACACAGAAACTTGGAGTCATACAATTCGATTTTCATGATGCATGAGAATCATGTTCATTGGAAAATTATGACAAATTCATTGTTCACATGTTTATGTGATGCAAGTCAATGATTGATGGATCTGGTACATGTTGATATGGACTCTTCAGATCTACCACAAGGGACGATATCCTATATGTCATGATTTACTAATGCTTCAGTGAATATAGTTCTATTTATAAGATTAAGCATAATTCTCATACTTTTGCAAAATTCAAAAAGTAGCAGAACAAAAAGAATTTATTAGGCAGAAAGATAAAATATTCTCTAATCCGAAAAGAAAGGAGAA